GGCCGGGGGGGGGGGGGGGGGGGGGGGGGAGCTGCTGCAGGGCTGGGGGCGCGCAAGGTGGAAGTTTTGCCTAGGGCGCGAAACTTCCTTGCACCAGCCCTGATAACACCACAGAACAGAGACACAACTTAAGGTACTTCGGCCCCAGTTCTGCAAAGCACTTAAGCATATGCTTATCTCCCATTGCAGCCAGTGAGACTTAAGCACATGCTTAAGTTAAGCACGTGCTTAAGTTCTATGCTGACTCAGGGCCTTTGCGAGGCTAAAGAGCAGAAAGCACTTACTTTGCAGCTCAGGCACTTATGTCCTCATGGGACAAAATACACAGCAGTGAAAATCTTCCTTCTAAGCTACCTCAACAGAGCACTGAGAGGCTTAATCAATTAATGATTATGAAGCACTTTAAGAAGCTGGGAAACACACTATGGAAGTGCAAAGATTTACATTATTTATTATTAATTATTATTATTATCATTCACTGTTGGCTTCTGCTGTATTCCCCTATGGGGCAACAGCCTGGCCTCCCAAGAAAGGTTAGATCTCTCTTTACATTTCATCTAGGCTCCAGTCAGGCTGGTTGCACTCTGACACTTCTCAGGGAGGCAATGAGCTTAAAGATGCCGAGAAGTAGCTAGACCTAGATCCTCAAAGGCATTAGGCACCTGCCTTCCACTGATTTCAATGGAGCTAGGTGCCCCAATACCTTTAAGGATATGGGTGCTTGTTACTGTTGAAAGTCTCACTAGTTGTCTATCTGCAGCTGTAGGTAACTAAACACCTTTAAAATCTGACTTCTAGTACTGTAAGTCCGTAGTATAACTGGCAATAGAACCCAGGAGTCCTGGTTCCTAGTCCTCCGCTCTGAGGGCGATATAGCACTGCCCCATATGCCTTCTTAACAATATAGCCCAATATTGAATAGAGAAAGTGCAGCATCAGGTTTCTGAGACACAGCCAAGCTTTACATTGTTATGTGCATCTATAGAATGTGTCTGTACTGATAACCTTGTACAGTAGAGCAATGGAGGATGGGCTCTATCGAGCAGTCGCTCAAATTAACAAAAACGAAAAGATTATTTTTAAAACCCCCACAAATACATGATGATGTAACAGAAGGAAATTCCATCTTGGGGTCTGGTGCTATAGCACTCAGACTACATATATATGGTTCCCAATGTCATGGGAACTACACAATGGAATCATAACCTCACAGTCAAGATTGGTTATCTATTATCAGACGCCTGTTACAGATACAGCCAGGGGACATCTATCTATATGTGTATCTCAATTCACAATATGACTTGGCCCATGCACTACGCTTCATAGATTCAAAGGTCAGAAGGACCATTGTGATCATCTATTCTGATTCCCTGTATCACACAGGCCACAGAACTTCCCCGAAATAATTCCTGTTTGAACTACAGCATGAGTTTTAGAAAAACATCCAATCTTGATTTAAAAATCGCCAGTGATGGAGAATCTACCATGACCTTTGGTAAATTGTTCCAATGATTAATTACCCTCACTGTTAAAAATGTACACCTTATTTCCAGGCTGAATTTGTTTAGCTTCAACTTCCAGCCACTGGATTTTGTTATATCTTTGTCAGATACATTAAAGAGCTCATTATCAAATATTTGTACCCCATGTAAAGTCACCCCTTAACCTTCTCTTTATTAAGCGAAGTAAGATAAAGTCTTGAGTCTCTCTCTATAAGGTATGCTTTAATCAGTCTCAGGGCTCTTCTCTGAACACTTTCCACTTTATCAACAGAGCAAACCTAAAGGCGATGGGCTCTATAGCATAATAGCTAGCCCAGTAGTTCTCTGCAGTAATGACCAAGGAGCTCAGGCAAAGGTTGTGGGTTCACATCCCACCATGGTTGCTTTTTTGCTATTAATTTTACCTGGGAGGTGCTCCAATACTGTGATGCTGGGCAGCAGCGTAAGACGGAATGATAAGGTGCAGGGAATTAGGCCAGGTAACGCTGAGCCCAGCGTGGAAGGGAGGGTTTTAGTCTCTTTGAGGAGCTGCTTACCATCTGACTGATCTAGGTATCCAGTGTTACTTCCCTAGGGTGAGAAAGGGGGCCTAGTAGACAGGGCATTGAATTCAGGAGATCAGGGTTCAACCCCCTCTTCAGGCAGAGACTATGTTTGTGTGTGTGACCTTGGGAAAGTCATTTTATCATCTCTGTGCCTCTGTTCTCCATTTGTAAATGGGGATAACAGCACTACTCTAACTCCCAAGGATCTGAGGATAGAATCTGAGGCACTCAAATACGAGGGGGATGAGGGCCATGTAAGTACCTAGATAGACAGGAAAGTGCTCGCTCTTCTTGACAACTGTGGCAAAGATGCAGGAACACTTAAGCTGAAATGATTATCACCAGAGGTGAGGCCTGGAATGATGAGAACTAGACAAACAGAGTCAAATTCTAGTTACACGGGTGCAGTTCTGCTGAAGTCAAGGAGGTCGTATTCATTTATCAGAGGAGAATTGGGGCCATGGGATCAAATTCTGAGTCTGGGCAGTTGGGCCTGCATGTTTTATATGCCCACTCCTGTACACGCAACCGGACTTCATCTGCACACATCCAGTTGGTGGCTGCATGCGCCTTGCTGCCCAATCTGCATGTGCAAATGTGAGTTTAGTACCTACAATAAAAGGTGCAGTGAGCTGCGTGTGAAAGAGCAGATGTGTAAAATCAGAGACCAGCTTGCAGCTAGCTGAAATGTGGCCCATAGTTTTTGATAGTGCTTGTCACTGGGCAGACTGACCAAAGCCAAGAGGTAGAGGGATTTTTTTTGATGGGGGAGGAGGAGCTGGGCACGCAGAAGAGAAAACTGGAGAGAAGAATAGTGATGACGCAATGACTGATTTAAAACAAATGACCCCTTGTTGGCCTCATCTAGCAATGGAAACATCCCTGTATGAATGACAATTTCACAATACTATTATACTTGTTCAGCATCTATTGTTGGCAAGACATAAGATATCATGATCCTCTGTCTGCCACATATTTCACCCTAGAGGGATCCACTGCTGTGTAAAGTGAAACTACAGAGGAGACAAAAAAAGATGTCAAGGTAGCCCAGTGTCTGGTACCACTCAGCCCGGAAGTTTGTGATGGTGCCGGATCATCTCGGAACCATCCCCATTTGTTCTGAAGGACAGAAATGGAGATGAGATTGTGTCACGGCAGACAAAAGTCAGCGTGCAGGCTTGGAAGCCTTTAATGACTTGCTCCAGTGCTCTATGTATCAGACTGCCCAGTGGATGTAGAGAGCAGCGCTGAATGATGGAGTTGTGCAATGCACCAGCGTGGCTCTGTTCCCTATGGGAGAACCTGCTGCATCCTAATCTATTGCCTTTTTGGGTAAGTGCTGCCGTGGGACTGCAGCAGTGACAGTGGAGAGAGAACTCCTGGGTCTGTTAGCTTTCGAGTGCTCTCCAGCTATGCAACAATAATACCTCCAACCTGTGCGCAGAGAAGCAGACTTGAACACAGCAGCCTTGGCTGTACCTTCCTGCTTTTCTTTAATACACCCTTAGAACTGATCTCAATAAGCAAAACAATCCAGCAGCTTGCAGTGTTAATAAGATTACACCAGCGATCCAAATGAAAAATCCACCCATTTAACAGAGCAGATCGTTAGGCTGATATTTAAGATTCCTGGAGAAAAAGAAGGAGCTTTCGGGTGTCTGACCCTTCACTGTGCTCCATAACACGGAGAAGATCCCTCTGCCTAATGAACCCAAACTTTGAAAGCTACAAATGGTAGAGACCTTACATTTAAAAATGCTTCTTGGTTCTGAAGTGGAGGTGGCAAGGAGGGGAGAAATGAAATGGGGTTCTCTCTGCGCACCAATGTATTGGTGACATTTCAGATTAGAGTCAGGAAGCCCCATAAAGGTCTGGAAACTGTGGATCCAGGTAAAGTGCACATCGAGTTAGCAAATGATGTCATATGGGGGAGGGGGACATTCCTTGACTGTGAGTTACTGGTTGCTTAAAGCTAGAGGGGAAAGTTTTTTAATGGGATGGGGTGTTCCCCTGGCTCCCTGCCCCTCCCATCCCCCCACCAATAAATCACTGTCTATATTCCTCTCTTTCCAGGCTAACCTCCTCTGAATTCTTGCAACCGAGCACAGCAGCGCTTGAGCACTCCATTAGGGGAATGATTAAGAAACTGTCAATGTTCTACAAAACCCAATGCTTGGAACTAAAAATAAACCAAGACACCAGGGGGGGTAGAGGGAAGGGAAAGAATTTCAGAACTCGGTGCAAATTCTCCAGCAAAGCAAAGATTGCAGCAATGTTTACCACTGAACAGTTTTTTCTGTCCCTCCCTTTCACACACCCCCACGGGAGATGTTTGGGGAAAAAGGGGGTGTTCTGCTCTCCTCGCCAACACTTCAGTGCATCGTGATGTCTGAATCACCAGGCTGAGCTTCTCTAGAAAGAAATACTTGCTTGTCTGGTGCTTCTCACTGAATAACGATACTATAGCGGGGGTTCTCCCTTCTGTGATGACCCCCTCAAATACCTGCCTTTTCTTTTGCTTTCTTTATCAGTGCAGCAGATTGTGCAAATGCTACACACCATGACACACTTACATATCCCTCCCCTCAACCTTTGCAGGTGCATGCATTCCTGTGACACAAACAGCACATGTGCAGCCCCCAAAGGCGAGCAGCAGGGCCCCATACGGAAAACCAACGGCCTCTTTTGATCTTGACCGGCTCCTACTCCATCCCTACCCCTAGTACGAGAGCAATCGGAAAGTTGCCTGATTGTAAGGGGGTTAGAATACTTACAGTAGGTCTTCCTGGTCAGCTCTTCCACAACTTCAGGCTTCAACTTGCTGTTGGATTTCCCCATTATTGCCCAGCAGCTCTTCCTCCAGATCACTCAGTACATCAATCACTGTATTGCCTGGTAACTCCCCCTCTTTCACTGAGGGGTCATCCGAAGGCTTGCCTTGACTTTAAAAACAATTCAAAATCACCTCGGGTTCTTCTGCCAATCTCCTCTCCTTCCTAGAACAATGTTTCTTTAAAAAACAAAAAAGCAGCAGCGGCAATGGAGTAAGGGGGAGAGGGAAGAATTGCTTTTGTTTTAGTGGTGCTCCAACCTTCTGGGAGACAGGATTTCAGTCCTGGAGGATTTTACCCCCCTCTTCAATTGAAGAATAACGCTAATCAACAGAATTGCTACATTACACTTGGGGAGAGGGCTTTGGGGTTCGGTTTTTTTACAGCGACCAGAGCTGTGGTTACATTTCAGGCATGGGTTCTCTTAATAAAAAATTAAACACTGCAGGTTGATTTGTTTTTCCTCCCCTGCCCTTGCTTGCACAGCCTGGTAAGGAAGGTTATTGTGCAGGATCTGTGTGTGTGTCTCTCTCTCTATCCTCCCGGTAGCTCTGTGGAGTGTTGCTGTTGTCGTCCCTGGTTACAGAACACCCTCCCCTCTTTCTTTCCCTGTGTAGCTTCAGCAGGCGAGGATTTGCTGCTGCCTGCTGCTCTGCTGATAAGGTGTTAACTGGAATCTGCCAGTCAGACAGCAGCAGGCCAATGTCTTATGTCTCCTTTTCTTGTCTCCTCACTTTCCTTTTAGATCAATCCTCTAAAAAAACCCACAACCCAATCACATTTTCATTCAAAACAACTCAATGGCTTCTTCTTTCTCTGCAGATGCACTGATTTCCTTCCTCTGGGGCCTGAAGAGAAAACGTTTGTTGTCTCTAACTTGGAGCTGAGTGTCTAATGGAGATCGGAGATTTCCCCACTCCCCTCTCTCCAAAGTGGTGTATTTATCTGAGATTCACAGAAGTTAGGGATGGAAGAAACTGATTGGGTCCTTCGATCCGCCCTCTGCCATTGAGGAATCTGCCTTTGTTTTATCGGAAAGTGGCAACGATATATTTGGCGCTATGTAATTAAATGGGATTATTATTGTCACTATACTGGTTTCTGCCTTGATGAAAAGTCCCGTTAATGAGATTTACTGCCTATAGCACTATAGCATTTGTTTGTTTTGAAGATCCATATTCCTTCTCCCAGATTCCTTTGCCTGTGTTCTTGAGACTGTTTCTCTTGATGTTTTCCTGGCACGTAATAATTTACAAAGAAATGACTTTTTGTGAATTTCGTAGATAACTCTAATGCGTTTGCTTGCTTTCTCTCCCTTGGGGGAATTTTATAGCGAGTATGCAGCCAGGGTAGCAGAAACCTGCAAGAAACAAAATAGATTTTCATCACTGACAGGTGGGTCTTTGTAAATCAATATTTTCCTTATCTCAAAGATAGAGCGTGCCCAGATTGGTGGAAACACCCGGCCTACCAAGCTGACTGTGTTGCAGATGATTAACATACATCCCATCTGACAACGTGTCTCTACTCCGCTTTCTACTTATGCTATTTATCTCCAAAGAGATCAAATAATGTACTGCAATCTATGAGTCTTGCTACAGTCATTTTTATCCGTGAAAGGGACTCTTTCCCCTCTGGAGCCAGTTAGAAACATAGATGTTGGCCCCTTCCCTCAAAGAGCCATGTGGAGTCTTTGATGTTAAAATTAGGACTTACTAAAGACAACATACTGAGCCATCACACATCAACCAGCTGATCACAGAGGTCGGAACATCACCGCCCCTTATGCACCAAACACATCAAGAGTGACCTCTCTGCACTAGACACCACATTAATATTATAACCCATAAGCAGGCAAAGATTCTGACCACCCAGCTAGTAACCTCAGTAACAAAGCACCTCCCTGCAGGCAGTTCCATTTCTTTAGGTGCACTGCTCGCTCAGGTTCAGGAGAGTGGTGAAGGAAGAAGAGCATTGATGGGGTTAAACCTGCCAAGGGAGAAGAAACCTACTGAAGTCGTGCCCTCTCCTGCCAATTTCCAGTGCTTGCTCTGCCTCTGACTTGTTCGATGACCTTAGGTAAGTCAGAGGGACCATCATTTGGAGAAGTGGCCTCTGATTTTTTTTGGTATGCTTCAATTTTTGGCACCCCTAACTTGGAGGTTTCACAGGTATTACTCAGCGCCCTCACAGGGCTCTCGTGAGGATTAATTCATTCATGTTTGTAAAGTGCAAATGGAGACGTGTTGAGACTTTTTGAAAATCTGACCCCAATCAACCTACCCATGGGCCATACAGAGAATCACTGACAGAGGTGGAAATACAGCCCAAGAGCTCATAACTTAGCCTAGGCCAGTGACCTTCAACCCTATTCCACCTGGAGCTAAAAACCATCCATGTTTTTTTGCCACAACCCACCCAACCCCACAATCCTTTGCAGCCAGGAAGGGGAAGAGTATCTTTGGATACAGACTGGCTAACCTAGTGAGGAGGGCTTTAAACTAGGTTTGATGGGGGCAGGAGACAAAAACCCACAGGTAAGTCAAAAACATGGAGACCTCGGAGGAGGGTCGAAATCGGGGGGGGGGAGCATGGGCCATTATAGCAGGGACAAGGGAGAGACAAGAGGGAACACAGAGGGGAAATCAAATCAGTATCTTAGAGGTCTGTACACTAATGCAAGAAGTATGGGGAATCAACAGGAAGAACTAGAAATGCTAGTGAATAAACACAACTATGACATAGCTGGCATCGCAGAGACTTGGTGGGATAATACGCATGACTGGAATATTGATATAGAAGGGTACAGCTTGCTCAGGAAGGACAGGCAGGGGAAAAAAGAGGAGGTGTTGCCTTGTGATTCAAAGATGTATATACTTGGATTGAGGCTGAGTTAGAAATTGGAGACAGACTTGTTGACTTATCTCTGGGTAAGGATAAAAGGGGTAAAAAACAAGGGTGATGTCATGGTAGGGATCTACTACAGACCACCTAACCAGGAAGAAGAGGTGGATGAGGCTTTTTTTAAACAGCTAACAAAATCATCCAAAGCACAGGACTTGGTGGTGATGGGGGACTTCAACTACCCAGACATCTGTTGGGAAAATAATACAGCAAGGCACAGATTATCCAACAAGTTCTTGGAATGTATTGGAGACAATTTTTTATTTCAGAAAGTGGAGAAAGCAACCAGGGGAGATGCTGTTTAGATTTGATTTTGACAAACAGGGAGGAACTTGTTGAGAATTTGAAAGTTGAAGGCAGCTTGGGTGAACGTGATCATGGTAATCATGAAATAATAGAGTTCACGATTCTAAGGAAAGGTAGGAGGGAAAACAGCACGATAAAGACAATGGATTTCAAGAAGGCAGACTTAGCAAACTCAGGGAGCTGGTAGGTAAGATCCCATGGAAAGCAAGTCTAAGGAGAAAAACAGTTCAAGAGAATTGGGAGCTTTTCAGAGACACTATTAAGGGCACAAGGGCAAACTATCCCACTGTGTAGGAAAGATAGGAAGTATGGCAAGAGACCACCCTGACTTACCCAGGAAATCTTCAGTGATCTGAAACTCAAAATAAGAGTCTTGCATAAAGTGAAAACTAGGACAAATTACAAAGGATGAATATAAACAAATAACACAAGTATGTAGGGACAAAATTAGAAAGGCCAATGCACAAAATGAGATTAAACTAGTTAGAGACATAAAGGGTAACAATAAAACTTTCCACACAAACATTAGAAGCAAGAGGAAGACCAAGGAAAGGGTAGGCCCTTTACTCAATGAGGTGGGAAAGACAATAACAGAAAATGGCAGAAGAGCTAAATGACGTTTTTGTTTCAGTTTTCACCAAAAAGTTTAGTAACAATTAGACGTCTAACATAGCGAATACCAGTGAAAATGAGGTAGGTTCAGAGGCTAAAATAGGGAAAGAACAAGTTTAAAATTACTTAGGCAAGTTAGATGTCTTCAAGTGGCCAGGGCCTGATGAAATACATCCTAGAATACTCAAGGAGCTGACTGAGGAGACAACTGAGCTATTAGCGATTATCTTTGAAAACTCATGGAAGACAGGAGAGATTCTAGAGGACTGGAAGATGACAAATATAGTGCCCATCTATAAAAAGGGGAATTACAGACCAGTCAGATTAATTTCAGTACCCGGAAAGATAAAGGAGCAAAGAACCAGGCAATCAATTTGCAAATATCTAGAAGATAATAAGGTGATAGCAGTCAGCATGGATTTGTCAAGAACAAATTGTGTCAAATCAACCTAATAGCTTCCTTTGACAGGGTAACAAGCTTTATGGAGGGGGAGAAGTGGTAGACGTGGTATATCTTGACTTTAGTAAGGCTTTTGATACTGTCTTTCATGACCTTCTCATAAACAAACTAGGTAAATACAGCCTAGAGAGAGCTACTATGAGATGGGTGCATAACTGGTTGGAAAACTGTTCCCAGAGAGTAGTTATCAGTGGTTCACAGTCATGCTGGAAGGACATATCAATGTCCTAAAGGGGTCAGTGCTGGATCTGGTTCTGTTCAATAACTCCATCAATGATTTAGATAATGGCACAGAGAACACACTTATAACATTTGCAGATCCTACCAATCTGGGAAGGGTTGTAAGTGCTTTGGAGGATAGGATTAAAATTAAAAATGATCTGGACAAACTGGATAAATGGTCTGAAGTAAATAGGATGAAATTCAATAAGAACAAATGTGAAGTACTCCACTTAGGAAGGAACAATCAATTGCACACATACAAAATGGGAAATGACTGCCTAGAAAGGACTACTGCGGAGAAGGATCTGGGGGTTATAGTGGATTGCAAGCTAAATATGAGTCAACAGTGTAACACTGTTGCAAAAAAAGCAAACATCATTCTAGGATGTATTAGCAGGAGAGTTGTAAGCAAGACACAAGGAGTAATTCTTCCACTCTAGTTTGCGCTGATAAGGCCTCAACTGGAGTATTGTGTCCAGTTCTGGGTGCCACATTTCAGGAAAGATGTGGACAAATTGGAGAAAGTCCAGAGAAGAGCAATAAAATGATTAAAGGTCTAGAAAACATGACCTATGAGGGAAGATTGAAAGAACTGGGTTTGTTTAGTCTGGAGAAGAAAAGACTGAGCGGGGACAGATAACAGTTTTCAAGTACATAAAAGGAGAAAGGAGAAAAATTGTTGTTGTTAACCTCTGAGGATAGGACAAGAAGCAATGGGCTTACATTGCAGCAAGGCAGGTTTAGGTTGGACATTAGGAAAGGTTTCCTGTCAGGGTTAAGCACTGGAACAAATTGCCTAGGGAGGTTTTGGAATCTCCATCATTGGCGATTTTTAAGAGCAGGTTAGACAAACACCTGTCAGGGATGGTCTAGTTATTGCATAGTCCTGCCTTGAGTGCAGGGGAAAGAACTAGATGACCTCTCGAGGTCCCTTCCAGTCCTACACTTCTATGATTGTATGAGACTGTAGCCAGGGAAAAAAAACAAAAAACACATGGCTGATGTTGGGTGCTGGGACTTGTGGAGCTAGCACTGGGTGTGAGGAGGTTACCCAGGCTTGGTGAGGGCCAAAGGAGAATTGGTCATACAGTCTCACAGTATATGAAAGCTCTGTGTATGTGCTAATTATCTCTAGTGCTCCACTGCTGCTTATCTTCTCTCCTACCTTGTATTTTAAATCCTGCCTGGGCTGTCCGGACATGCCTTTACTCCTCAAATATCAGCAACTGCTGAGGGAAATAATAGACACTTTAAATAATAAAGTAAAGGCTGTTCTGTAACCCTGCAAAGAGTATAGTGCAAATTGTGTGTGTGTTTATAAGGAACAGGGTGGGTGGGGGTGGGCAAGCGTGGATTACAGTACACACATGGTATGTTTCTTTACTAGTGAAGACTGCCACAGTCAATTGTCCAGGGACATATTCCCTACAGCAGACATTTCTAAAATACATAATCCTCTATTAGCAAACCTTCCACAAACAAGCTCATTAAGGCAGCAAAGTTTAAAAACACAGCAGCATCCTTTATCAACACATCCCCAGCCTGGGCAACAAAAGGCTGACGGTAATATACCGCTACGAGACAAAAGAAAGGAGGCACAAATTCTCCTCTCTTATGCACGAGTGTCAACAGGAATAAGCCCACTGACTTCCAGTGAGTTACTAGGGATTTACATCATCGACCCAGAGACTTTAAGGCCAGAAGGGGCCATCATGCTCATCTAGTCTGACCTCCTGCACATCACAGGCCACAAAACCTCACCCACCCACTCCGGTAACAGGCCCATAGCCTCTGGTTGAGTTACTGGTGTAAGTATGAAGGGGGGGGGGGAAGTCCTCAAATCTTAATTTAAAGACTTCATGGTACAGAGAATCCAGCATATCTGAGAGCAGAACGTGGCAAGAGTCTGTTCTCTTCTAGATGCTACCTAGATTGTAATCCCCTTGGGGCTGAGGCCATCTTTTTGTTGAGTTTGTACAGCACCTAGCACAGTGGAGCCTGGTCTATGCCTAGGGCCCCTAGGCACTATGGTAGGGCAAGTAATAATAAAATAATAATAGGGTGGTAGTGAGGCATGCTAGCCTCATAGGCCCCTACACTAGTAAGAGGAAGCCTGGGGGTAAGGCACGGACTGGGACTCTGGAACACTGGGTTCAATTCCTAGCTCTTCCACAAAATTCCCTGTGGGACCTTGGGCAAGGCAATTTCTTTGTGCCTCAGTTTCCCATCTGCAAGATGCAAATAGCAATACTTCCACTTTGCTTATTTACATTGTAAGCTCTTTGGCGCAGAGACTGTCTCTTGCTGTTTATGTACAGCACCAGCACAAGGGTCCCCCCCTCTCCGGGGAGGCCTCAAGAAGCTACTGTAAAATAAGCAACACCATCCCAGCCTAATCATTTTAGTACAAAGCTCTGCTGCTGAGAAACGGATGTTAACAGGATTCAATTAAATTTAAAATCCTACCCTGCCTATGCCACAGAAAACACTATAAAGAAGCTGAGATCACTTGGTGAAAGGATAAAAGTAATCAGAAAAAAGCTAGTCAATTTCTCTCCCTAATTACTGACATTGGCTTTATTCCTTCCTTGGTAAGTAAAAAGGTAGTGGGGTGTTGGCAAGGATGGAATGTTATTTCCAAAGATACAAAGACACAAGTTGCTTCGGGCAGGCTGGCTTAAAATCAGAATGGGACGAAAGAATTCTAACTAAACATGAAGCATGCAGAGAGTATCTGTACATGAATGAAATATTAAGGTAATTTCCTTACAGAGGAAGGCCAGCACTTGAATGCAGCTTTGCTTCATGAACTCCCCTATGTCTCCCTTCTGAGATATACATTACCATCCTGGGCAGCTCTCTTTATCACATAGCTAGCTACTGCAGTACAGTCCTGCAGTGTAATCAGCAACAACCTTGGGTACTCTTGCAGCAGGGTAACAACAGACACAGCATGCCACAAAGGATATTAAGTCTCAAGACTCAGAACTAGCTTTTCCATTAACCAACTGTTTGTGTCCTGAGTTTATACACCTTCTGTTCACCATACTGCAATCTGCTGCCATGGAAATGATTATTCATTCAACTATATTCATTATTCTATCATCCTCGTGATCAAACAAGGCTGGCAGGGAGAAAGTTCATGCATAAATAAAAAGCACTGAAGGGGTTTAGAGTATGCTCTATTATTACTGGAAGAACTGTGAAATGTGTAGATCTGGTGTACAGTAAAATCTGTTTCTATAACAAACTCTCCCCCCCCCCCCTTGGGTATTTATTTTAATGGGTTTAATAGAATTACTGAATTCTCTTTAATCGGTACCCAGCAAGTCTATTAACTTCAGAAACGCATTCTTCGTTACAGGTGGGATAACCACTCTGCAGTCAAGGATGATTTAATAAGCACCTTTATTTGCCTTCGTGAGTCTTTTTTTTTTTTTTTAATTTAAGACTTCATTGTCATTTTATTATGATGATTATAGTCACTTCATCAAATATTGTTGGAGCTATGTGGCAACATTTGATTATCCACCCTTTGTACGTTCCAGTCACTTACTTCGCAAGGCAAATGTTCTCCTCTTCCCCTTTCTTTGCGTATGTACATATATATTTAAACAAAAGAGAGTGGAAAATATAAACCCAAAGAAGCCTGACACTGTTCCAGCCCCTGCTAGCAGCAGTGTTCTCCTAATCAAATGACAACGGGTATGTTCTGTGCATGGCCAGCATCCACAATAACACGATGCTTTGTAACATGTAAATATCCCATGTGTCCCAAGTTGTTAGTATTATTGTTGTTTGCAGCAGAGCCTAAAGGGCGCAGCTGAGATCAGGGCCGCATTGTGCTAGGTTCTGTACATACATAGAATAAGAGCCAATCCCTTCCAGGAATAAAACCCAAGTCCCCCTGTGTCCCAATCCGGTTTCTTAACCACAAAACCATCCTTCCTTTCCAAGAGGCATTGCTAAAAAGCTATCAGTATTTGCAAGGCACAAACAGTGACCACGGCCACAGGCGCACACCTGGTTTTTTATCAGGGGGTAGCCGTGTTAGTCTGTATCTACAAAAACAACAAGGAGTCTGGTGGCACCTTAAAGACTAACAGATTTATTTGGGCATAAGCTTTCGTGGGTAAAAACCTCACTTTGCATAGAGTGAAAGTTTTTTTGTTTCTAACGCCCCTAACCCCATGGGACGGGAAGACCTTTTTGGAGAGCCGGAGGGTGTAACATGGTAGGAATTTCGATACAGGAATTGGGGCTGTCCCTATTAAGGAAGCAGAGGTGGCAAACCCGGGAGGGCCTGGCTCCTGTCTTCTCCTGGGTGACAGACGCAGCCTTCGAAGCATCCTGCTGGAGGAGTTTCTCCCATTTAAAGGCAACTTCCCCCACAGGCAACCTCATGTCTCCCTCTTCTCCAGGCATCTGCAGAGGCTGGGGCGACGCGCAGGGACTTATCTGGGCATCTCGCTGCGTCCCAGGGGAGGGCGCCTGCCTGCCCCCAGCCTCCCCCGGTGCCGTCAGAGCGGATCGCGGCCCCCGGGCCGCTCCTGGGAGGCTGGTCCTGCGGCGCAGGGGCTCGCAGGCAGCGAGGGGGGGATTCCCGCCGCTGGGGGCCCCGTGCGGCCCGGGCCGGGCTGCTCGCACCTCTCCACTCCCGCCCGGGCCCGGGGCGCTGTGCCAGGCAAAGCCCCCCGCGCCGGGGCCGGGGCCCCGCAGGCCACGCCGGGGAGGGGACGGTGCCGCGCTGAGCCGCCCCCGGCCCGGCCACTCCCCCGCTCCCCTACTCACCGGCAGGCTCCGCTCCGCTCCGCCGCGCTCGCCGCCCGGGCCTCGGCCCAGCCCCGCTCCGCCCGGCGCGTCTCTCCTCCTCCCGCTCCTGCCGCAGGGATGCGGAGCCCGGGGCGCTCGGGGGCCGCTCAGCGGGCGGCGGGGTCAGGGACACGCGTGGGCCCAGCACAGCCGTGACCGCCGCGGGGGGCGCACGCGGGGACCCTCACGATCCCATAGGGGGTGGGGGCGAAGGGGTGACGGTCGAGGCCTGGTTGGGAAGCGGGGGGGGCCACCTCCACTGTCCCTCAAGCCCCTGTCACCCAGGGGCTGAACGTGGTGACTGTGACCCGGACCAGTGCTTCCCAGCCAGGGGTCCGGGGCCTGGTAGGGGGGGCCGCAGACAGGTTTCAGGGGAACCGCCAAGCATGGCCGGTGTTAGACTCGCTACAGCCCAGGGCAGAAAGCCAAAGCCCCGCTGCACAGGATTGCAGCCCAGAGCCCCCAAAGCATGAGCAACTTAGCTTCCTGAGGCCCCCTGTGGCGTGGGGCCCCGGGCAATTGCTCTGCTTACTACCCCTTAATGCCAGCCCTGACTTTTATATGCAGAAAACCAGTTGTTGTGGCACAGGTGGGCCGTGGAGTTTTTATAGCATGTTGGGGGGGGGGGTATTCTGAAAGAAAAAGGTTGAGAACCCCTGACCCAGACATACTCAGGCAGGTATGTTACCGGTGTCCAGCCCTCCTCTCAGTGTTTCACCGGAGGGGGTTGTGCCGTGGCTTCTGCTGAAAGCTAAGCACTGGCTGAATGCCATGGTTATTGCGAGAGGGTTGTATGGGAACTAGGGTAAGAGATCTGCAAAATGTAGAATATTAGGGTGCGAAACAGTTGAAGCAACCTGGTCACCTGAGGTGAGACGGGGTTTCAGGGCTAACTCAATCAGCGCTGAGAACAATCCACAGCACTTCGTGCAGTGGCTGGACCAGCCACTTACAAAGACAAATGAACCCCAGCATTGTTTTTCTGAAGAGGGGCCCCTTGAGCTGAGAGACAATAATAGTCTGTAACTGTGTAAGAGCAGAAGAAGTGACACAAGTTGTTACCCATGACTGAGGAGAAACTGCCAGTGTGGGTGTGTCTGAACTGGACTAGTGTAGTGCTGTAAAGATTGACCAATGGGTAAGAGAAATACCTCATGTAGCAGCCAATTTGACACCCAGGGCATCTCTCCAGCACTGTAATCTCTATTGATTCCCTGTTGGTTTCTGGGTGGAGTTCAAGGGGTTGTTTTTTACCTGTGATGCCTATCAGAGACCACCTTTTTCCACGCCGTACAGCCGTAGTCAGCAGAGCTGCTGGAGTTGCCTTGGCATTGCTGTTATCCAAAGGGGAATTAAGGCACAGAGAGCCCAACAATACACAGGGAGGCTGTGGCAGTGCATAGCACTAAATGTGGGGTACCAGATTACTGCTCTAACCACTGCACCATCTTTCCTCTTCAGGCTGTAGGACAGATGCTACTGCCCATCTGAGTTCAGGGAGTACATTCTCCCATAATATTCCACTTCAGCAGACTGAGCATTGGGCAGGGTATGCAAATATCTTATGCTGAAGCAAATGATCTAGGTCTTGAGACTGCCCCACAACGTGGGACACTGGACATGATACTGTTGGCCCTTCCTGTACAGCGTCTTCCTCACTTGCAGTGTAGTGGCCTGCCCTGGTTCAGACATGGATGGTTAGAGTGGGTATGATCCTCTCTAGCCTAATTCAGATTGTAAACACACTAGGACAGAGACAGTGTCTTCCTCTGTTTTGCACAGCGCTGAACAGGCAAGTGAGAAATCCCCTCACCACCCTGAGTAAGAAAATTCTCCTGGCTAGCAGGGGCAGAGGCTGTGCCACCTTCTCTGTCAGTGTGGTACCAAGCACATGGACATCACTCAGTGATCACTCTGCGTACATACTTGGAGAGCGTGATCCTTGTGGCGGAGATAACAGAGGCCAAAAGGCATCAGGCTCAGGCAGTATATGTTGCCAGACCTGCCTGCCCATCTTCTTACCATCATTGTTCTGTGGCACTGCACAGCTGATTTTGCCAGTTTCCACCACCTCCTGTAGCAGCCCAGGGAAATGTGAATTAGTTTCTCCTAGCTACAAGTGGAGACAAAAATATATATAAGTTTTAGGGCTGTCAGATTAAAAAAATTAATCGCGATTAATCGTGCAATTAAAAAAATTAATCGCATGATTAATCGTGCTGTTAAACAATAACAGAATACTATTTATTAGGGCTGTCAAGCGATTAAAAATGATTAATCGCACTGTTAAACAATAATAGAATACCATTTAAATATTTTTGGATGTTTTCTACATTTTCAAATATATCGATTTCAATTACAACACAGAATACAAAGTGCACAGTGCTCACTTTATATTTATTTTTGATAATTATTTGCACTGTAAAAAACAAAAGATACAGTATCTTTCAATTCACCTCATACAAGTACTGTAGTGCAATCTCTTTGTTGTGAAAGTACAATTTAGAAATGTAGATTTTTTTTTTGTTATATAACTGCACTCCAAAACAAAACAATGTGATGAATTGAAAAACACTGTTTCTTTTGTTTATCATTTTTAGTGCCAATATTTGTAATCAAAAATAATATACTCTGATTTCAATTACAACACAATACAATATATATGAAAATGTAGAAAAACATCCAAAATAATACATTTCAATTGGTATTCTATTGTTTAACAGTGCAATTAAAACTGCAATTAATCATGATTAATTTTTTTTAGTTAATCATGTGAGTTAACTGTGATTAAATAGTAAAATAAAATAAAAAATTTTGTGCCATTGTGTGCATAGCAGGGGTGCTTGTGGGTTGTATAGCTATTGCGGGGACAGATTCTGCAACCCGCACTCGTTAAATACCCCTATTGACCGTGAAGAGCACCATACTTCAGCCATAGACTCCTTTCACCTCCAGTGCACCTGCTCAAGGAGTAATGAGTATCAGAATCTCGGCCTTGGAGACTTCCCTAGCTAGAAAACTGACTATCTCCTCTTTCCTTGCCAGGAACTCACACAGTGGGGCACATCCAGCATTTCTGTCATTTGCCTGTCCTGGGGAAAAGCATCTTTGCAAGAGTTTTCTTCCTTCTCAACATACAGGCAGCTGCCACAAGGGTAGGCATCTGGCCAGGGGGACCATGTGTGTGAATGTGATGCTCCTCAGGGCTGTGAGTTAGCTTGTTGGCACCTGCCTCCTGCGCAAGGGGGGGGTCTTGCCTTTACCAGCTGGGTGTTAGCTCACTAATACAACCAGCTTGTCAGCTGCTCAAGTACTCTCCTCTTGGCTACACCAGCCCTGATTTGGCCCCTAAGTCCCAGGGGAACACTTTGAAGGGACATCGAGCCCTGATCACTGAATACCCATAGAAATCCCAGATCCACCATTCCCAAAGTAACAGCTGACCCCAAGTTACCAAGTGTAGGCCCTAGTTCATGTTTATGATTTTGTTTGGTATTTAGCCATTTGTTTCCATCACTCGCACTTGTTTCTATTGAAATCTCTATTTTTTCTTAAGTAAAATTTCCTTTTTTTTTTGTAATCAAACTCAAGTTCCCAGTTTTACAGTAGCCCATCACTCCTGTATCACACACAGCACTTGAGTTTGGTTACAATCAAACAAAAGGAAAATTTACTTTAAAAACATTACAGATTTAAATAGAAACAAGTGTGAGTGATGGAAACAAATAGCTAAATACCAAACAAAATCATAAACATGAACTAGGGCCTACACTTAATAGGCACCTTTCCTGTCTAAGAGTAGATTCTTACCCCAAAATTCAGGCGTTCGCAGCATTTGCCAGCCCTAATAAGGCCTGGTCTACACTGGGGAGGGGGTGTCGATGTAAGATACGGAACTTCAGCTACTGGAATACCGTAGCTGAAGTTGACATATCTTATTCCGACTTACCTCCCGTCCTCATGGCGCGGGATCGACAGCCGCGGCTCCCCCATCGACTCTGCTACCGCCGCTCGCCCTGGTGGAGTTCCGGAGTTGACAAGGAGTGCATTCGGGGATCGATATATCGCGTCTTAACAAGACGCGATATATCGATCCCCAATAAATCGATCGCTACCCGCCGATATGGCGGGTAGTCTGGACGTACCTAAGGAGCTAAGATCAATCTTTCATGAATCAGCCCCACTCATCACCTTCTTAGTGAATGGATCCAGGGTGTCTTTCTCCACCCTGTGATATACTGAATCAGTCTTCTGTCTTGATTCACAAACCAGGTGGTCCCCTCACTGCCGTATTGTCCTTTTCATTTCCAGGTTTTCCATTGATTGTTCTGGGGTGGTGCAAAGGTGGACAATTGTGGACGTTACATAATTGGCTACCCTGAGAGGGGTGACAACTCCCTCTTCGTGAATGGGGCATCACCGAGACAATTATTCTCTGATGACTCACTTTCACTCTGAGACCATGAGGACATCACTTTTAATATAGATACATTACTCCTTAAATATTACCCATACACACATCTCGCAATGATTAGGAGTACTGATAAGTTACAAGCTTTAAATTAAATTAAATAAATTAATGGAGATATTCTATCTCCTAGAACTGGAAGAAGGTCATTGAGTCCAGCCCCCTGCCTTCACTAGCAGGACCAAGTACTGATTTTGCCCTAGATCCCTAAGTGGCTCCCCTCAAGGAT